TGACTTTGAAATCATCAGCCGCCGAGTATCCTAGACGTTATCCATTGTCACTTGAAATCGCCAAGAATGCGCATTCAAGCTTATCTGAATGTGGGCTGAAAGGAAAAGTCAGTTTTAACTTTCTCTCTGGACAGTTGCACCGAAACCCCTCAAGAGATTCGGCTCTATGGTGCAGAATGGAATATTTCAGGAAGTAGTTTTATCTGTTTGAAAGTCACTATTTTCGGAGATTCTAGAATGCTTTACGGCCTATCCTTGGTAACAGCGAAAATCTTCTCCATCCACATTACTCTTCACGTATTTATGGCGTTTTTTCGATGACTGAGCATGCTCTCAAGGAGGGAATGTCAGAAACCCTCGTGGTCAATCGCACACTTTCCTCGTACCTTTCATGACTGTGTCCGGTCTACATCACTTTTTGAATAAAATATCCGCCACGTGACGGAATTCAAGAGCTCTAGTCATCTTAGGTCACATAAGGTTTATTTTTTCACAGTTTTGTGGATAGACTTTATGATTTCGTTGAAACCCACTTGGCTCTGCCTCCAAAAAGTTATTCCTGACTAGGATGAACTGCAGCTTCGAATTCGCCTTGATCTCATCAGCACCCCAACGGCATTCGAACTCGGATAGTGCAGCGTACAATTATGCATGTCACTACCTTGCCAAACTACCACACACTACTTATGTCACTGTGGGAAAATTCAATTATCAACTTTTTATCACTTTATGCGACCTAGGATGACTATAACGCTTAGTCAAGATCTATGGATATTCGCGAAATCTATTAGCCATGAATATGTTTGGATCGCTTTTCAAATGTTTCAGTGACATATTCGGTCTCAGCTATGTCTTGGCTTGATAATTAATATGCCTCTTGTGCATTCTTGCAGAAGCCCTGGTAATAATACTGAAAAGACTACCCTGTCTGTTCGCAGAGAGTATGGGTAAGTCGGAGAGTGACGTAGATCTAGAGAAAAGAGGATACAGTATTCCTGCTCAAAAGCGGACTCCGCTTATGATGTAACCAGAGTGACTGTGTTACACCGAATCATATACATTGTCTTAAAGGGCGGATGGTAACCTGTGAATACAACAAGCAGCTCACGTGTAACGTTCAAGAAGAAGGTGAACTGCCCAGCCCCCAACTTGTTCTCCACCACCAGCGTGTAGTTGGACATGTCGTCCGCCTGTACATTATCAATCACTAGCCGCGACTCTTGACTACGAAGGCGTGGTGTAGGCCCAGATGCCTCGGTTGCCGATGACGACTCGAGTCTGACCAGGTTCGTTCCCGAGTCTGCCGTGAGGACAGTTGGAAGCGGCTTGCCATTTCGCCGCCACTGATAGCGCAGAATCTTTGGGTTGCCCAGAGGCTCGAGGTCAAGGTTGATACTCTCGCCTAGAAGTACAGAGGGCACAAAGTAAACAGGCATTAATTGCAAGTCAAAATTAGACAAATAACTTATCTACCACTAAAGTTCTTCGCTGGGTTGAACCATATCAAGTTGATTAGATGGGGTCCCGTTTGGGCAGACAGACAACTACAGGAAACGATAATTGACGAGGAACTGTTCTGGGCTGAAACATATCCATCCAAATGCATAATCACTTAAAAAAGAATCGTATTTTGTTACATTCTCTCTGTTTGGGAATATCTGACCAGATCCGATGTAAGTAAACAATAATTAATTATCCAACAAACTCTTTTGTCACCATATCATGCTTAAGAGGGATTGTGTAATTGTATAATATCTTATTAACCAATTACTCATTCCAACAACGCATCTACATAGAGCCCGTAGCGCAAGGAGGGGGCGAGAGCTTAAAGTAGGGGATAACATAATTGTAGCAAGGGTGCATCAGGCGCTTGAATGTTTGTTTTTTAAAAGTTAGGTGGTACATTTTTTAGCTTGAGGAAGAGGGGGTGAATAGTGGCCTGACAAAAGAATAAAAATATTTTAGTCTCATATTATGAGTTTGAGACAATATTTAACTTAAAGGGTTTCTGGACAATTCATCTTTCCTTTCGTCAACAACTAAATACAGTTCTTAATCAGGTTCTATATGTACTTTTGAATGTTACTTTCTCTGAATATTAATAAAGGTATGTAGAATTACCTTCAATGTTGTTTGAAAAAGGAGCTGAAGGGAATTGATAAATTGTCCTCAACGGGAACAGAAGTAAGTCAACGTATATACCAAGCATTTAAATGATGATAATGCTTTTGTAACTACTCAGTGTTATGATCTGTATTTCGGACACAATTACACACACAAACACTCATGTATTAGCCTTCTTACTAATATGAGAAAGAATCAACCAGATAATTCTATATCCTTTTATATCTATCTACATATTTTGTTTTTAGTG